TATGTATCTGTACTATACTGTAACTGTCACCAAATGTGTTTTTCCATCCATCAATACTTAATTCCTTAACTATTTTTATAATTTCATTTATACAAAAAATAAAAACTGTGTCTTTGGAAATCACAAATGTTGATTCCAAATCTCGGTGTCATGATTTGATTCTTAATTCAATACAAATAAAAAAGGCCACCATATTCTTAATCTCAATTTCTGACTCTCCTTTTACTCTTTGTTAATCTATATCTTTGTAAAAGGTCTCTTTGACACACAATTGACAACACATGTGGGACTATATTGCTGTTTTTTTGCAATCATTTGGTGATACTTTACAGTCTTCTGCATTTGACCAGAGATGTTTGTCAAATGTTTTGTTGGATTACCAATTTGGTTCAGAATGAAAACTCAACAGAGGATGAATCAAAAGGACTATATAGCAAGTCCCTGACTTTTCATTCAGCAGCAATTTCAGGTCATAATGTTTAATTCAATGAATATGTTGTGGTACTGTAGTAGCATTTCCCATTAATTAATTAATTCTCATTTCAATGGCCCATGTTTCTTTTTATAATAATTAGTATATCTTTCCATTACTTTGAGCCGTTTATATAATTCAGTGTCTCTGGAACCAAAGTTTCCAATATGCGTATATATTTTTGTTTACATTCCCTCGACTACAGTAACTTGAATGTCTGTATGAGTTGATGCTTAATGGCATGCCAGTAGGTACCAAGGGACAGTGTGCCATCTGTACTTGTTTATATGTCATTACCCTGACATGATTCCCATAATGGAAATTAAATAGTATGGCAATATACTGTACATTAAAAAAGCTTTGAAAAATGTTGGAAAAACGTTCTGACCCTAATCTGCAGTGTTACATTGATTCTTGATCGATTTCTAACACACTGAGTTACCACGAGGCCACAGGCTATATTTGTATCCTTCCGTCTATCTGTCTTTATTCCTACTTCAACTGGCAATATATTAAATGTAACTGTTGCTGCATGTTGTGATGCAGCAAACAAATCTCAGTGGAGTGTGAAGACAAAGACCACATTTTGCACTGTGAACAGAGGGCAACATATTGACCTACCTGTGTACTCCAGGGTACAGAGTACAATGACTGGCCTTGGAACAGAACATATGCTTCATTGTGTCAATAAAAGGACCGAGGTTTGTTTGCTCTTCTGAAACAACCAGGTAAGTTCATAACGTATGTACACAGTGTACTCTGTACTAAAATGTAATTGAAAGCACTTTTAATGTACCGAAGACACAAGGGTGACAAACACAAGCTCATTTTAGTCAATAGCCTGGCAGTCAATAGTGGCTTCTTTCAATAAGTCGAGTCACAATGATACAGAATCAACAAAATGCTGGTCTTTGATGTGACATTCAACAAAAGGAAGAATCCAGATTTATTTTCTCACACTGCTAAATCACAAAACAAACTGGGGGCCATTTAGACAATGTTTACAAAAACTTTACCACAGCATAAAAAAACACTTCTTTCTCTAAAGGCTCTAACACCAAACAGACATTAAAGAACTAGTGGCAACGGAGGAGATGGCTTGGTTGCCTTGCGTTGCCAGTTTCTTAGCCAAAACGTTGATTTGAACAAACTGCAAAGACTACAGCCAACTATCTGATACATGCTGCGCCTTAACAGCAGGCAGCGGTAGTCTGTATTGGTCTCTCAAATAGGCAAAATAAAATCAAGGACTAGATATAAAAGCCACACTTTTAAAAATGAAACAGTGTTTTTGGAACCATTTTCACAGTACTCTCACTAACCACTCTTTCCAGAAGACCTTGTCATTGTGAAAATATCAGTATATAAGAATGATTAGACAATAAAGATGAAAGATGAGAAAAGAAGGTGTCCCACCTTGACTTGAGTTCGCCGCCAAACAAAAATTAGGCTAACAGACGCTCGCCCACTCGCAGTTTAGCAATAGCCTATAACCAGCTTGGTATGTCAATACGCAATGTGTGTTCTCTCCAGTAGCTCGAACCAAATTCCCACACCACGTAACCACGTTGTCGATGTTGGCACCAGAATATTTTCAGTTTTGTTGCACTTGAAGGGTGCTCTTTTTGGATTGATTGCCAACATGTATGAGGGCGGGACTTGCCTAATAAGCCGGCCTCAGAGAACATGCGAAAGAAGAGAAAATAGAGATAAGTCGTATAAGAGTGGCTGCAGCGGATGAATGCAAATGTTATTATTTATAACCCTCATTCCTGATGTAATCAGGATTTTCTACATGTTAACCTAAATGAACTAAAACCATCTGATTTCAGTGCACTGTTGTTGCCATTTGTTTTGGTGGTCAAACCAGATTAAGTGTAGCAGTGTCTTTGTCTTAAGTCATCAGGTTGTTTAAGGACTATAAGAAATAGCCATCCAATGTAATAATAACATGAATAATAATAGTGAGTGATGTGGAGTTACTGCCATTTGTAGTTTAAATTCATTCACTTTTATTCAGTTTACCCCAACTTCATTTCAACACTTCAAGTAGTAATGAAGGTATTATTCTTATCCAGAGCTACCGTATTTTCAAAAACAAAGTCAGATGGAAACTGAATAATGTGGAATATGGTATGCACGAAAGATAAACAAATAAAAAAATGTCAGACTCCAGGGCATGTGTTCTCATTATAATTATTTCACACAATCAGACATGAATCCTTGCTATAACGAAATTTACTTATTTCATTCCAGCACAGAACAGTTTTAGGTACTTGTTTCTCAAATTCACACTAAAAATGCTTCACGTCAAGCAGTAGATACAGGACTGTGCAATCCTGCCATGATGGATGTAAAAGCGATATGGAGAGATAAAAAAAGGGTTCTGGCGATAAAAGAGCAACAGTGGCAGCAATATCACTTAGAACAAAGACGCAACGTTCCACCAAACAACAGGCATGTGGTTAATAATTCAGCGGGCATAAGAGTCCGTTTGAGAGAAGGTTTTCTAATATTCATGTGACATGATAGCAAAGACAGGAACTCTGGCTCTCACTGGGCACAGTGTTATTCATACTGTGAGGCACTATGGTGTTCTGTAATTCATAGCCTTGGTTTTTAGGCCAGGCGAGGACATGTAGAGCAACCCTGAGCTTCTGTAGCATACTCAATAATTTAAATAGACTTGTTCTCAAATGCTAAAGTGATAAAAGTCTAATATAAAAGATATAAAAGATAATCCAATTAAAAGTTTGGAATTCTCAAAAAAAAACTCATGACTGAAAAACCAAACTGTCAACCTCCAGCAGGAAGATCCACATTTATTTTAATTTATTCAATCATAAAGGTAAAACTTTCTTTACTTCCTATCCATTGTAAAAGTAATTGTTAGGTATCATGCAGAGTGCTAAGATCTATAAAATCACTCTTGGCCACACGCACACAGGCTCCACAAAGAAAAATGCAGCTAAAAAGTAAACTACCAAAATAACCCAATCTGACCCAAGAAGAAAGGCGACGCAACAGTCGGAGTCCGTCTGTGTCAGTTCTTTGGTGTCAGCTTGGTGTGTCCGGGCCTTTACACCAGTGGTTCCCAAACTTTTTCAGTCAGGCCCCCCTAGGGTAATTGGAAACATTTTCAAGCCCCCCCCTAACCCGGTTCCCACCTAGATTGGTAGGATTAATTGTATATAGTTGTACAAACACTACATTTTCTCTGCCAATAATAACAAGACACAAAGATCCAACCATCATTGTATATGTTATTAGGAATTGAACATGAACAAAAGTGCTTGTATTGGAGATTGATCCTGTGCCACTGTAAAATAATTAGGCCTAATTGAAACTAGTAGCCCTACTTCCCTGAGTAGTAGTTTATTAAATACATTTTTTTAATGAAAATATTTGTATCAACATTAAGTACTATTTGTACTGCAGGTTGCAAATAATCACATCACTAGTCCATTCCTATTCCACACATAGCCTACCTACTTTTACTTGAGTAACATTTTGAATGCAGGACTTTTAATTGTAACAGAGTATTCCTACACTCTGGTACTTGTACTTTTACTAGTACAAGATCTGAGTACTTCTTCCACCTGACACGTAATTGGGGCAACAGAGCTACGAGTTAAGGCAGTGGAAAACGTTGCATTTCTTCGACTAATTACGATGTTTGGACAGATTGCTCGTGTTTCCGCGCTTACGCGAAGATGCTAATGTCAAACGAGCATTGTCCACATTGAGCCTTGTTTAATGTAACTTTTGAACCCACAGTTGGAAAACGGCTGTGTTAGACTGACAATAAATGCAGTTGACCTGTCCTCCTGTGATGGTACCCGTCATTTCATACTTATATTTTCTGCTTCACATCTCATTGCACATTGTAATAAACATTGTGTTGTTCTCTGGCAGGGCTTACTGCACTGGTATCTCTTTTTGGAGCTTTCACACCGAATATTTATTCTGTTTTGCCTCATAAGGTTTGGAGTGGGAGTTTTTCCAAGTCAGCAAGGCTTTAGGATGGCAGTGCCAGCTAAGCAGGGTTAGACAAGTTCAATGATTTATTATTCAATATAGTTTATTTTGCAGGAAATATAGGCAATTACTCAAGTAGTTTATAAATTTACTTTTTTAGAACTCTTACATCTATGCACATTCCTTCCATGCCGAGCTGAATTGTCATAGCAGAGCACCCCTTAATGGATTAAAGTCTCCAGAGGTTATGTCTTACAAATTTTGCTTTAGATTATATGAAGTGTTAGTGAATCATTGATATTTAATTTCTAGAACATCTCGACTTGCAGTAACAAGGCAGAGCTGAGGGAGAGTACTGCCTCGTGTATTGTCGTGTGTACCTAAAGATGCTGTAGTTGTCAAGGTTCTCAACTATAAAAGCATATGTCACCTTCCTGGCCTCTAAATATATACTGCTGAGCCTCACTAAGCTTTCCTGCTGCATTACTCCAGGGTCAAAGTGAAAAGGAATACAGATTCACAAAACATAGTATATAAAAGATGTCCTTACACTCAACAGTGTCCTTCAGAAGGGAGTGTAGGAGGCTTCTTGGGGATCCATGGTGTAGATTGAGCCTAGAAAATACATTGAAAACAACCTGTATGAATGACTGACTGAATAGCAGCTATAGTTGCCAATGTAACAAAAACATGTCTAATGTTGTGCTAGCTACATTTAATGAATGATGTGTGAACAATTGGTGTCCCTCAACCAAACTAACTTAGCAAAACAGAGCAAACAAACACTGCTTATGTAAAGTAATAGTTCTACTAGCATCCTGTGCTACATATTATTGCATGGGATTAACAGGTATAAATTATAATAATCTGGCAGTCCCCTCATAACAACCATACCTGTTCTTTGACAATCTCCTCATTGGAAACAAAGTGAGAAACCTGGCTGGTGTAATTAAAAATGCTAATCACCTTCTGTCCCCATCAGCAGCCTGAGCCTCTGGCCTGTTGGTGAAAAGCTCCAGGACAGTGAAGCCTCGCCCCAGTGCCTGCTGGGAGCCGTCTGGCCTGGGTGACAATGACACCAGCTCCAGAACCACCACCGTGCTGAGCAGCCGCAGAGACGTATGGAAGTACAGGACCTACAGAACCACATGGGTTGAAAAGTATTGTTATAAAAACAACATGTTCAGAATGTCCATTGGAATATATAATGCCAATGTACGTGATCTTAACAGTAATCTTAATTTAAAACAAGAACAAAAAAGTAAAATTTGGTATCAAATTGTGGTATACGCGGGTCATAGCAGTCCAAAAAAAGGTCAGAGAAAAGCACCAGGGATCTTTCACCAAACCAAACGGGGATGTGTAAGCATGGTAAAAGAACGTACTCTGCTCCTCCAACATGTTGTGACATTTTTCAAAGCTTTTTTAATGTACAGTATATTGCCATACTATTTAATTTCCATTATGGGAATCATGTCAGGGTAATGACATATAAACAAGTACAGATGGCACACTGTCCCTTGGTACCTACTGGCATGCCATTAAGCATCAACTCATACAGACATTCGAGTTACTGTAGTCGAGGGAATGTAAACATAAAAATATACACGCATATTGGAAACTTTGGTTCCAGAGACACTGAATTATATAAACGGCTCAAAGTAACAGAAATATATACTAATTATTATAAAAGAAACATGGGCCATTGAAATGGGAATTAATTAATTAATGGGAAATGCTACTACAGTACCACAAACATATTCATTTAATAAATGTATGGCCATATAGTATAGTATGTAATTCAACAGCTCCTAAAATAAGCATTTTTTTTCTTTAATCATCATGAAAAAAGGTGGCCCAAATGAAAATCACATCAGCAGACTGGATAGGGCATCAACTATTGATTGGTAAGAGGGAAAGAAAATACCCTCTCACAAAAAGAAATGGGCAAAGATGATCAGAATGAATGAGAAACCAGAAAAAAAATGGCAATTTATTCTGATAATCAAGCAAAACAATTGTTTGCCTCCACAGCAAAAATGAAACATGGGTCGTATCCCATACTTAGAAAGACAAAGAAAAGCATTTCTATTATCCAATTGTTGTGCTGCCTTTGATCCTCTGTTATGCCCGGGATGTTCGTTACAATCTTCATATTGCAGGTCTCCGAAAGGAAGGGGCCAAACATCCAGTGTTGGCAAGCAAACCTGAATGGTTGAATGTGTGACTTCACAAATCTCACATTCAGGAGGCGTGTATGTCCCTCTGGTGATGACACTCCTTAGGATTACATGGGGGGGGTTGACCTCGCTATTTTTACACATTTCCGAGGAAGACAGTCAACCCGTTTGGGAGGCTGTTTGTAGTCGGTGCCAGGTAGGTGCAATTGTTTACAGACACTGATCTGCCATTCAAATTGAAAATAATAACCCACCTACAGCAGAGCCACAATGATTTGCATGTACAAAGGCCTGAATATGATAAAAAAAGACCCACAAATTCTCTGTGATCCATTGGTCCCCGAGCACAATAACGCCTGTGATTTTTCAAAGCCATAAAGAAGAACATGACAGTGTCAACAGAAAAAAAAAATGGCATAAGTAGACATGAGCTACCTTGAAATACAGAGCCAATTTCTCCCAGCCCACTGTGGCAGAGGCTGATCATCTTCAACCCCGGCCATCAGCCACCACAGAGCAATATATTCAAATTTAAAACCTCAGAGGCATTCTTATTTCGACCACATCAGTCTTTTATCTATGAGCATGGGGGGTTTCAATTACTTGTTTTCCAGATGCAAACATTGCTGAATACAAATGGGAAACGTGGGAGGGAAAGATTCTTGTCGAGCCAGGGTTTGATTCAGTTTTTTGTCTGTTTTTGTTTATTCACAGGACGTGGATGTTGAGATTCACAAACTAGCTCATAACTGGTATGTCTGCTAAGATAAAAGTATTCTGCTGGAGCAGACTCAACAAAAACAAATTTCTGTGACATCAACACGGGCAGTGAGAGGGTATATAGCAGGGGTCGGCAACCCTAGGCACGCGTAAGGCAATGGTAACCAGTGGCACACTAGTAATAAGTGGAATAAGTGTGCAAAATATAAAAAATGTATTTTCGGATCCTGAACGAGACCGCCGCCAGAGCGCGTCTCCCCGTTACCTGCAGAAGGAAGCCATGCAACGCAGCGCAGAAGGATAACTTCTAGGCCCCGCTCTCTTTAACTCCAGTCGACTTTCTGCTGCTTTCCTACGTGTTAAAACGATCAGGGGTGTAGTGCTGCCGGAGCGCACCGGAACTCCGCGCCGGCACTTCACAAATTGCATTACCCATAAGGAGCTGTACACATGCCGCAGTTTTTGCGTGGCTGTGTCTTTAGTTGAAAGCCCAGTGGCGATCTGTTCATCTGTTATACTGATCATACAATAACGCCATCTAAAATAATATGCTAGCTACAGTACAGTACAACTACTTCTCCTGTCAGACTGAGAGGCTCAAATAACCTCAGCTCAGGTGAAGTAAAGGCACACCTTTACATGTTCATTATAGTTATCAAAAAATAAGAGAATAAATGAAAAACAGGTATGAAATACTATATGATAGTAAAACAAGAATACAGTTTAACAGGTGAGTGATTTGTAAAATATCCATAAATAAAAAGAAAATCTGTTTACAGTTCTGTTTCATATGGGTGTTGAGAGATGTATCCATATATCTATTAATTATGCTCTCAAAGTGCACCAGATTGATGCTTTTAACTTCAATATTTAAAAAAAAAAAGCCTACCTGTTGTGTGATAAATCACATGTGGATGTTTTCATATGGATGGGAGCATACTCGGTGCTCATGTTTCTGTTTGTTACATTTAATTCACCCGTTTTGACATTTGCTGTTAACACATTGCAAGTTTATTGCTGAAGATTGGTGCTTAATCATCATTGGTGATTAGTGATTTCAACTCAGATGTGAATGTTTTCATAAGGATGGCTGCTTTCTTTGAAATGTTGCTATGCACTTTGATGTAATACAATTACAGACCCGTTGGAAATGTTGATGTGATGTCATAATTGCAATTAATGATAATCTTAATGTGGATTTGGCACACTGATTACATTTTTTTTTTTTAAATGGCACTTCATATCAAAAAGGTTGCTGACCCCTGGTATATAGGATGAGCAACAATGCCTGATAACTCAACGTAGAGGAACATTTAAGATAAAAGTAATTTCATGAAATCTTAACACAGTATCTCAGTTCAACTCTGACATTTTTCTCAATAGAGTGGTATAGAAATTAGTCTTCAAACCGGAAAAGTTAGCATTTCAGCCTTTACGGGTAACCTTGTGTCAAAGGGTTTTTTAATATGTTTTGTCTATATTTTCCAAAATAATGGCTGTGGTTACCACAAGATTACGAGATCTTCACGTTGTGTTCTACGACGTAAAATATGTCTCAAACCACTTGAGTATATCTAAAGATTGTACGGCAGTTGCTAACAAGTTGCGACTTTGAGACTCCATAACGTCATCACCTTAACACCCAAAAAATGTATTTCTGGTGATTGCTTTTACTCAACTATTATGAAAGTGGTGTTAATATGTAGAGGTTATCCTGCTGAACAAAATGTGTAAGTATCATCAACGTGCGTTTGCGACAGCTTATTTTCTGCGATATTCCAAAATCCAATGGAAAATCCCAATGATTTTAGTCAAGGGAGCCCTTGCTATGCTTACTCTCGAGTCGGACTACAAAAATATATTATCACTGAACCACTTTATGATGGTGATGTCCATTTTCTGGGCTGAACACATATTGTGTATGTTTGCTGAGCTGAGATTCAGACAGATATTCTAGCAGCTGTAAACACGCTCCGAGCTGAGAAAGTAAAAATATCCCCCATCCCAAGATGCATGCCATTCAGTATTTATGGACTGAAAACGTACTTTTCCTCAGTTTATTTATTTATTTCCCTTCAACTTCAAGTCCCACATTGAAGTCTCATCTGTGACTAAACTTCTCTTGAACCTATCCCGAGATGTAATACCTAAACATTGAGGGCCCGGATCTATATACCTTCTATTATATTCCCCCAGGTTACCTCCTCCTGTGATAATGTGGGATTTGCATTGTGGTGAAAGACATAGCCCCCAGTCTCAGAGCAATCCAAACGTGGACATTGTTCGTGACGAATTTCCAATTCAAAAAAGGTAGATTTTCTTTTCATCTGCCTCGCTGCTTTGATATACCTCCAAATTGATTCTGTTCTAACCCAAAAAAAGGTAAATACTGTGTCCCCACAGAACAAATATTTCCCCTGCTCAATTTACAGTAATTGAGATTTTCAAAGGATGAAGTCAATGCTCAAAGAAACTATGATTAGTTATGAATATTTTGAGATAGACAAGCTGGAATGAGGATAAAATGGTGGCAACTGTTGAATAAATATTGTAACTTAAATTCAGGACACAGGAGCTGTTTTGCACAGGATATTTCAGTACAGCATGCTTAAACTGCACCTTGTTAAACCTCAAAGGGCTTTTTTTCCAGTATTAACTCACAGATATCTTAGATGTACTATGTTGTTTGGAAACTGCTTTAGATTTGGGCTGAAGCATGGCGATACTACGTCTGCGACCAAACTCGGGAGGTAGTACTGCAAATAAGGAATACATTTACTGTAAGGTTTGTAAAAACAGTAATTGAGCAAGGCGTGTGCAAACAGAAATCTATCTAAAATAACACTAACTTTCGTCTGCCTGAACAAAGCTCCAAATGTGTACTATTTCAAAGCAAACACACACTGCACTCTTCCCCCAGAACTTTACGTTAAGGCAATGTTATGAGATCTCGCTCCTTCCTGACGCCACAGGAGATGTCATTGAGAAAACAGCTTGCATCGGCAGCAATGCCAGGCGCAGCATATGTTGGACCTAATGAGAGGTTATACTGCGCAGCGACTGTCAACAAAGCAGTAATCGATTCTCGCAGGGGTAAATATCCAGCCCCCGCCCCCCCACATACACACGTTTTGAGTCAAGTGAGGCGAATGGCAATGGGGTGACATTAAAACATCATTAGCAGAGAGGCATGTAGCTTGAAGTCGCTGTCACTGCCAACACCCGGACTGTCTGCA